AGGGAAAGCACTGGCCCACGCTAGCTCAGCAGAATGATAAACCCTAAACGCTTTGAGATCTCTCTCCCACTAGACACAGGAGGAAAAAATGAATTACTAACAGAGTAAAAATGCTGCTTTGTGAAAGACACCAACAAGGTGAGGAAGGAACCTTTTTATTATTATATCTATCGATCAGTCTTTAAGAATTTGTTGTTCTCGGCTACATTAGCACTGGGCCAGGCAGAAGATTTTAAATACTTGGTGCCTGCCCTTCAGAGCTTGACAAACCAGCAGATGTGTGGAAACCGACAGATGGAAATGATTAAGGGCTAAACTGCTGGTGTGGACTCAGAGGCAAAAGTTCAGGAGGGAAGATCTCATGCTCGAAGGAGGTAAGCTCTTCATTCTAACCCAAAGCTAAAGCGCTGGTATTGTCTTGGTGTGAACCTTAATATCGCAGGAAACCAGGGGCCAGATAAGCTGGAGGACCTTTGTCAACCACAGAGGCTGCTGCTATAGTGGCAAAGAGGCTGCCTGGCTTGTCTGTTTGTGGAGGGAGGGGGTGGTCCCGTGAGGGATGTCGCTCTGCATCACAGCCCGTGCAGCGCCCACCGTGAGAGAGCCCTTCTCTCTTCTGCACAGGTGCCCCTGGGCAGCCTTAAAGGGCTGGGCTGCTTCCCCGCTTGAATGTCCCACCCAGAACCCCAAACCCCATCACAGGCAGACCTGGAGGCAAGTTCCTCAGCTGCTATAACCTCCTTGTTCCAAAGTGAGATAACAATCATGGTTGTCCTCAAAGGATGTCCTGAGATCTTGTCCATTCAGGACCTAGCGCATAGTACGCACTCAATAAACGCAGTCACGGCTGATTTGCGCTTCCTTCACTCCGTTGACTGACACGTATGCATTCCTGCGTTTGTCTCTCTGAACTGCCAAATAGAGTAAGGGCTTAGAGGGACACTGACGCAGCTAAATAGATGAACCCTAGCCCTGTAACACCCAGTACAATGGCACATACCCCGTGCGGGTCAGATCCCACAGACTAGAAGTGACGGCTATAATGGGAATGGTCCAGGTCCCAGGATAGAGGACGTGGGGAAATCGACTTGAATAAATACCAGCAGTTCATGTTCAAGTGCCATTTGGCTGAGACAACCACACACTTCCTTTACCAGAAGCACTTGCTTCTCCCTCCCCTACCCCTGCCCACCCCAATGGGACTGCTTGGAATCAGGGTGACTCACCCTCTGAACAGAGCAAGGGGGTATCCCTGGTTCACATCCTGCCCGCTGTATTGTTCAGAGGCCAATTCACATTCTGCCCTCCAAGTCCAAAGGCATGAGAACAGGAGGAAATGTTCAGCTGGGCATACTTTAATAAAACAAAATAAACTCAGCTACAAGTCCTTATGAAACTGCTCTCTGGGGAGCAGTTTCCCTGCCTCTGACATGCTCCCAGGAGAATCATGCTTTTAAAAGGAGATTTTAAATTCCCACCCTACAGTAAATCACACTGCAGCAAAAACGGCCAGTGAGCCACCCTAAGAAACCACGGCCCCAATGTACGAAGGCACACAACCCGCCTCCTTTCTCCATTCTAGTAAACTGCCCTTGGACCTTGGGTGGATTTTTTGTTTCGGGGGCTTGTCCCAATGCACTGAAGGGCGGCCTACTCGCTGCACTTTTGTATTTGCATCGTGGACACCCTCATGCCGTTCAACACAAGCAATCCAATCATGACACACAGCCGTCAGCTTGCCCCACTCCTAGGAGAAGCTAAAGATGTGCATCCTCACCGTCCTGGCAGAGATGGGGCCCATCCTGCATGTGAAACAGTGAAAAACAAGACGCAGGGCCTTCTCCCAAACACAACTGTGGCAAAGATGGCTGGGGGCCTGAAAGACCACTCTTTTTTCTTCCACGGCAGCAGCATTTTAACCTGGGCACACGGCTGCCCAGAATAAGATCACATTCCGGCCTCTTTGCAGCTCCTTGGCCCCGTGAGTAAGTGCTAGTTAGTGGGGTGTTAAGCAGAGGTGGCCCGTGGCTGCACTTTTGGTCTCTTTTCTGTCCTGTCGTCCTTCTTGCTGCCTGAAAGTGGGTGTAGCCACCGGGGACCAGAACGAAGAGGCCACTCCCTGGCGGGGGGCGGGGTAGGGAGTCAGGGGAGCCTGGGACCCCAAGGATGCCATGGTCACTTCCCTCCGGATGCAGGTTATGTGAGAGAGAAATAAACGCCTATCTTGTTTAAGCCACTGTTACACTGAATTTTCTGGGCCGTGGAATTGAATCCTGCCCTAATTATAGCAGTTCTGTCCC